AAGTATAGGGAATATTTTTATCGGAAATAGTGTAATTTTCACACTAAATAAATAAATTGAAGGCCCAAATTAGGGACAAAAATTATGAAAATTTAAATCAAACTCCCTTAATTAATTTTTATTCTACAAAGAAATTTGATTTTTGAAAAGTATAGAATGGAATTTTAAAAGCAGAGACTAAATTGCATAAAATTAGGGACTCGATTGCATAAAATTAAAAGTCTAATAATCCAAATTAAATTATGTGAGAATGTTAAGGGTTAAAAATTAGTCCTAAACACTAAAAAGGAAGGATTAGAAGTGACGTTTTGCATAAAAGAGGGACTTAGGCAAGAATGGGCTATGGAAAAGTCTAGAAACTTGGAGGACCAAAATTTGTCATTTTCCTTCCAACTTTGGCCGACCTAGAGAATTAATTAATTTTGACTTCTAGTAAAAATTATGGCAAAAAATAAGCAAGGTGGAAGCATTAAATAAAAAGGTGAATAAATGGCTAAAAATTAGGACAAATGCAAATAAATGATTGAAAATTGAATTAAGGGCTGAGATTCTTCCACATTAAGGATGGAAATGAGGTCAATAATTCCACAAAATTTCATATGAATAGGAGTGCTAGAAAAATAAAAAGGAGAGGAAAAATTGAAAAACACAAAGGAAACTCTTACAAAATTTTCACTTAAAAATCACCCAAAACATTTTTAATAAATTCTATCCACCTCTAATTAGTGGAAGAAGTTTTAATTTTGAGTGGGAAGCCAAAAATCTCAAGGGAAAAATTCGAAGATCAAATTCAAAAATTTAGAGGAAAAGAGGAAGAAGAGAAATCCTTTACCAATCTACCTTTTTAGAGTCTAATTGGAGCTTAAACAAGTAAGTTAACCTAACCTACACCACAGACATTCTTAATTTCAAGTCAATTTCATGTTTAATTGCTTGATTTTGATTTAATTACTCAATTAAGAAAAATTAGGGTTATGGTTGATGAACCAAATTTGGGGGGTTTTTAATTATTCATTTAATTGATATTTTAGCACTTAATTCTGACTTAATTGAGCATGAATTAATATTTAGAAATAAAAAATTATACTTTAATTGAAGAAAAATCCACTAATTGTTAGAAATTATATTGGGCCTAAACTAATCAAATTAGGGATTGAGTTCAAAGCAATTTGATTCTAGTTTGATGGGTCATTCACACTTGAATAAGCATGTTTTGATGAGTAGAAATGGAAAATTTACTAAAAATTGAAGAAAATGGGTTTTATGGGCTTGGGCCCAATTTCAGCCCATTAAAGCCCAATACGGGTTTGGACAAGATTTCGGGTCCCAAATTTTATTTAAATTAATTCCTATAGTTTTTACATATCTAGGCTACTTAGTGTTAAAATGGTGGGACAAAATGAGGAGAAAATGTTAGGATTCTAAAGAGGTCAAGTTTAGGCCTAAATGGGAATTTTGGAGAATTAGGTTTAAACCAAGTTTTAAATCTTAAATTTGATGATTCAAACTCAAAACACAGTAAAAATATGGTTTAGAATGAAAAAGGCTCATAAAAATTTAAAGAAAAATTGGGTTAGGAAAAATTGGGCCTTAGGCCCATTAAGGCCCAAACCAAAATTGAACCTCCTAAATTAATGAAATAATACCTAGTTAGGTTGGAACAAGAAATGATACTTAATTTGATAAAGACCAAATATGTAAAGATAATTAAGAACCTAAGGAAAAGAATTTAGGAAAGTCAAGTGAGAGGTAAGTTTAATGAACAAAAAAATGAAACAAAAATGTTAATCTTTCTTTATATTATGGTTATGTTCTTTCAAATGCTACATGAATGCATTAGGTTATGAATAATGGTTATGTTTGAATGTGATTGATGATGAGAATTGGGTTATGATGATTGATGTGCCAATGATGGTCAGTGTTGGTTTATATTGAATTGATGTTATCTATGTCGTTATGCTCGTCCAATTTTATATCGATTCTTATGACTTGGTTACATAACCATTCTAAGTAAGCATTCATGAATTCATACAGACTTGTTGGTTCATTGCAAATTACATATGCATGCTTAACTCATGAATAATATTTTAAGTCATGGAAATATATTTTATGTCATGATTATCCGATAACAATCTGAATGATTTTAAAGGAAAAGATTTCCATGACTTTGAGGTTTCGAGGAAAGGACTTTATGGATTTTTCATACGAGTGATGGTAATGATTCGAGGCGGGGCAAGTGCGGACGTGCACTTTTAGAGGCTCGATAAGGCACGTTCGTGGACGGTCCGGTTCGCCGTACATATGTGATGGAAACCCCGAAGTACCTAAATGGGACATGTCCAAAGACGAAAAAGAATTTTCAAACTCGTTTATGAAGTGTTTTATGACATAAGAAAAAGTGATTCATTATGCATATCGTTGTTTTATGCATACATACACATGTACGTACACTACATGCATACGTTAACTTACCGGGCCGTAGTTCATACAGTTTCTTGTGGTGTAGATAAATAAGATACTACGGCTCACTTATCCGTGAAGCCGACTATCGAGAGAGACATCGGACGTATGTAGCTTGGATGAGGGTTTGGCTTTCGGGTAGACCCATTACACAAAGTAGTTGACATACAATCGGTCATGTATGTAAATAGTTAAGGTATGTAATCGAATCGGTAATAATAAAATAATAATATCGTAGTAGTAGTATAATTACTTTAAATCATTCACTCGCATATTGACATTATTAGAAGTTTAGCAAACATGTAAAATGAAATAAATTAAAATAAAATATCATGATAGATAAACGCGACATAAACGCGAAAAATTTATAACGAAGTTGAAGTAAGAAATAGGACTCGAATGTCAATAAAAGATTTTTTCCACGTAAATATTCTTACATACGTTATAATAAGATCATAGTGCCTTGTTAGCTTACATTCATTGCACTTCGAATGTGGCTAACGACGGTAATATTCTCAATTTATTAGGTCCTAGGTTGGAGATGTTACATCAATGTTATTTTACACCGAAATTATCGACTTTATGAATCAATTAACCACAATATTAATTAATCTTATTTGCATGATTCATCAATATTTTTCTTGTGCAATTGACAATTATTAATGGATACATTAAATTGAATATACTTAAAAATAATTTAAAATTTTTATTAAATTGCTTTTAGAATTTAATGGATCCAAAATGATATTGTTTTGAATTTTTGGTTAAAAGAAGTAAAAAATAAGCTAATATTTAATATTTGTTTTTATATTGAATAAGAAATAATGGAGTTGAAAACGATTCTCCATTAATCATTTTATAATTTACTGAACAATTTTTAATTGGTTCAAGATAACCTACCAAGTAAAAAAACAAGCTTTTTATCAAAAAAAAAAAAAAAAATCAAAATGAAGGTGTTTTTTTTCTTAAAAAAAAAAAAACCGTTGTTGTTTTCGGTTACAAAATAATGGGGCCAACTGGCCAAGCATCTGCAGCTTTCAAAAGAAAACATATTAAAAAAAAAAAAACAAGGAACTAGAAGCCAAAAGCAATTGCAACCTTACTGTCCAGTTGCCTACCGGTCCCCATGCCTTGAAATTTTTAAAAGCCACGTGTTGTATAATAATAGGCATGGCATTGTAGTAGGCACTTATGAAATTATCCTCCTTCACCCCCCCCCCCCCACCCCCCCCAACGCGTTTTCTATTTTACTTTTTCCTTCTTGTCCTTTATCTCCAATTCTCGCAAAAAATCCCCAATTTCTTCTCTCCTTTTAGAAACCCTAACCCTAGTTCTGCTTGGATTTCATCTTCTCCGTCTACAATCTCGTCTAAATCTTTTCTGCAAATCGGTAAGGTTGGTAACTTTTACGCCTTGATTTATACAGCAATTTGTTTCTCTCTACTTACATTTGCGTTTTACTTGTATATTTGTTAACGAACGTTAAAACTCTACGTGGTTGTTGATTTTGTGATAATTATGTGTAAAGAGCTCTTAGTTTCCTTGACTTAGGTTTCTTTTTTCTTTTTGCTTTTATGTAGTTTTTTGGTGCTTGAATTGAAAAACACGATTTTGAGAAGCTAAAAGCACGAGTTTGATGACTAGTTACCTTACTATAACCGGTTTGTGTTGGTGCTTTTTGTTTCTAGGTTTTTTGAGCAATTAGAATACCAAACCTTAATGCTTTGTGTTTCGAGTTGTGAAGAGTTTGATATGATATGCTTGATTTTTTTTTTTTTTTAGCTACTGTCTAATTTACTAAAAATTAATTCATCCTGCTTATGTTGATGACTGTTATTTGGGTAATTAAAATCAGTGTTTCAAAATAATTGCACGTGTGAGAAAATTGAATCTTATGTGTAGATGGTCTGTCGTTTTCTTTTACAATAACTACCTAGTAAGACTGGAAACAGAGCCTTGTTTAAGCTTAAAGGTTGAGCCTGGAACTCTCCTGGCTCTTCCTTTTGTTGGTGACACCTGGGTTGTTTTTTTTTTTTCTTCTTGTTAAAAAAAAAAATTGTTTCTGAATTTAGAGACTTGTCTATTCTTTTTGGTATTAGACATTTATTTGTTACTGTATTTGTTTTTAAGCTTTCAAAACCTTTAAATGGTTGTATTTTAACTCTTGTTTACATAGATGTCTTATTTTTTTTACCCACCTGCAGATGGCTACTAAACCACTTACTCGTGAAGAAATTGCTAATACAGAAAAGAAATTGGACATGCCATTAGGTATGTCAATCTGCCGTTTAGTGATTTAACTTAATTGCTTCCCTCTCTCCTTCCGAATTGATTACTCATGGATATTGATATTGTTCTGTTTGGTGTTTATTTTCTAGATGACATCATCAAAATGTCCAAAATTACAACCAAACCTAAGAAGCAGCTAAGGGCTCCGGTAGGGTACTTTTCTTTTGTTTGAACACCTTTTGTCCCTTTGTTTAGATTTTCTAGATGTGATTGATAATGTCTTTTAATTCGGACAGATAAAAAATCAGAAAATGTTTAACAACCCTGCCTATGAAAAAGCTATAAAGGTGCGGCGTTATATGGACTCAAGGCCCTTGGTTCGGCAGGTATGAAATTGCTGTTGCTAACATGCATTAACTTTTAATATATTTTGCCTATTTTTATTGACCTCGTTATTGTTGTTCTCTATTTGCTTCAAATTTCGTAATCAGGGTGCCTTGGCTCAAAGAAGGTCAAATTTCCATGGGAACCAATTTCCTTTAACATCTGAGGCTGCAAGGAAGGCTGCAGTTGCCCCCTTTCGCAATAGAAATTTTGGTCGTAATTTCGTGGGTAATTCAAATAATGCAAGGTATAATGCTATGCAATTTGGTACTACTCCTCTATATAAGAAACAATGGTTTTGATCAGTTGGGATGACACCATTGCTGACAGGAATTGTCCATCTTGTTGTATTTTATTGTGGACTTGTTGCAGGTAAATTTGATGAACTCTGTCACATGGTATTCCGCTTAGTAGTTTCCTCACATAGTTTTGTGGAATTCCAGTATATGACTGGTTGGGTTACAAGTGGCCCATCTGGAGTGAATACTAATTATTGATGGCTTCTGCTCACGTTAACCAGAATAGAATCGCTGCGTTTTGGATATGGATTGCCTGTTTAGATATGGATATTTGCCATTTGGGTATACTGTAAAAAGTGGTTTACATGTGATAACAGATTTTGTTTGGAGATGGGCTATGAATCACACTAAAAAAAATGGATGCATTTTAAAACAGTATACAGGCTTAATGGGTATGAAAAGACAAAAGATGTGTCCGATGAGTTGAAGTGACGTTGCTTGAGCAATTTTGCAAAGAAATCCATCCTTTACATTCGACATGCTAGTATTATGTGCATTATTTCTTTACTGGACAGTTCTCTTCCTGTCTTGCAGTAGTGTGTGGTTCTTGCGTTATGGGCGTATTTCTCATTTGGAGGGTTTGAATCATGTTATCATATGTGTTCTTCTTCTCACTACCGGTCTCTACCTCCTTTCCTTGTGCATTTAGGTTGATTGTTCAACTGATGTGATTGACTGTAGCTTATCTTTCAATTCCCAAGCTGTATTCTCATTAATTTTTATTCTTCTCTGGAAATGGGGGGATAACAAATGAAGGTGCTCATCCTTTGCTGTTAGAAGTTAGCGTCAAGGGGAATTGAAGTCTTGAACTTTCTTTCATTCTTGTCAATTTTGATAGATTCTCCATTGTTCTCTGTCCCTTTGATCTATCAACTGCTTCATGCATGACTGGGTTTTGATACAATTTGTGGTGGCTGAGATGGCAGTTAACAGAGTCTTGTTGGTTACAAAATATGGGCCTGTTTTTGGTTGAAAGAATAAGAGTTGTGTGTTTCAGAATTTCTGTGCCCAAATGATAGAGGGAAGAAGTGGGAGTGGATTACTAGAACATGCCTTCTTGGGAAGTTTATGTAATCTATGATTTGGTTGGAGAATCATTAGTTACCAGCAAAAGCTTGTATGTGGCTTTTGTGGGTAATGGATAGTATTCTCAACCTGTGCCTGGAGTCTTCTGTTGCTTGGACGGCATGAGAATTGGTTCTCAGAGCTTCAGATCTGCTGCCTACGTTGAGGTCCTACACTGTCTTTGCAAATAGCAAAGATTTAAAAGTCCTGACAAGCTTCCTTTTCTTTTAAGTTTTCTTGAATATAAAAGGAAAAACTGCTGAGAAGGGTCTTCACATTTTTTGTCTGCAAAAATGGTTTGTCATAATTCTTAGTTCAAATTAATTTGAACACTTATGGTAAGAATCTCAGGTCTCAACCAAGTGGATTTTTATCTCATGTAGTTTTTACAAGTTCTGATTGATTGTGATGCAGTTTGGAGTGGAGAGTATTCTATTGGATTCAGGTGCTTGAAATATCATCCTAGCTCTTGATTTATTTTTTCTTGTTTCTGGATGCAGGGCTGGAGGTTTTATAGTTCAGAGGAGGGCTACAAATGGAGCCTTTGCTACGAAGGTATTTTTTTTTTTTTTTAATCTCTTGGCTGTGTGGGATTTCTTTCAGGGCTTTCTTCTATTAAAGATTCTCTCTGTCATAGGCAGATGTATTATTTTTTATCTTTAAAAGTTCATGCATTTCAAATTGCGAAGTCTTTAGATTCATCTGCAGCCTAGATAGGTCTGACATTTTTTTGGGAAGACGTGATTAAACCATGCACCAGATCTTTTTAGGTTTGCTTCCACCATTGGTGATTTGCTAGGTGGTGCAGCAGCGGCAGTAACAGAGCACTGCTTGTTTGTTGTTAATGCATCCATATCATGCTGACTTCTGTTATCACTGTGCCAGTCATCTCCACACCAGAACCAACAACAGCTGCAAGGGGATGGAGGTGCTAAGCAGAGGCCTCAAACATTGGATTCACTGTTTGCTAACATGAAGGAGCAGAGGACAAAAGTCTTTTCACGGCAAAACAATGCTATGCGATACAATGGTGGCGGCAGGCGGCCAAGGGTGCCTTGGGCGAGAGGCCGATTCTGATGCAATCCCTTGTAAGATGTTGACTGGAGAGGGTGTTTGTGGCACTGAAGCAGTCTTCTATGATCATGTCTTCTCAGTCTCCCTGCTGATCCCGTTCATGCAAGTTGGGGTGCTAAGGGTGCTTCATCAACCTAGGCTTCCCCAAATTTTTCATTTTTGCTTGTCATGTTGAACTATTTTCAGCTTGGTATTTTCCTGGTGACACTGTATATCTGTAACAGGATGTTAAAGCAATTCATGGCTTCTCAGAAATTCATAGTTGATTGTTTTTCGCCTTTGGGTGCTTGAGCTCCACATAACTTGTGGCTGTCGAGGGCATGGTTTGGGCATTCACTTCACTGCTTGGGGAATAGCAGATATCAAGTTTGAAGGTATCCGGTTTTGGTGGTTTGTAGAGAATAATGAGTTCTGTTTAAATTTTTACCTTTCTCCCTGCACGCAAATTGCGGTAACAAAAATTCCTTGTGGTCAGCGGTGGTATTTTTCTTTGTCATTAGTGGTAATGCTCTTGACTTGACGATTGCTTAAAATGCGAACAACTAGCAGTTTAGTTAGAGCCTAGCGTGGTGGTGAAAATGGCCCCCTCGGTTTCTTCCAGCAATGAAGTCTGGTAGGCCGGTCCAAGGCATGGTGCTGTTTTTTATATCATTAGTGCCAGTCAGAATCTATAAACGAGAATAAGCGTTTGGCAGGAAGTAATACGATTGGAATACTCTAATCGTCTAATGAAGTTGGACTGTCGCTTCATTTTTTGGTAGATTCTCTAAACCAAAAGCTTCTTTGTTGAAAGCAACGCAAGAGGGATGGTTTCTTCTATCATCTGCTTTTAAGCAGAACGGCAGGGGACGAGTCAATCAACTGACAGTAACTTCAAACAAGAAGCCATCCTTACCACTCTGGACCGCGAAACCCGAAGAGAGAGAGAGAGAGAGAAAAAAAAAAAAAAGCAAAACAAGCAGCATAGAAATTGCAAGTAGGAACTCTGGACTGGAATTAAAGTATTATATTATTTTAATAATCTTTCATTACAAGCTGGGGTTGTAGCTCATATGGTAGAGCGCTCGCTTCGCATGCGAGAGGCACGGGGTTCGATTCCCCGCAGCTCCATATGATATCATGTTTTGCAAAATTATAATAATTGTTCTTTTTGCCGGATAGTAATCAACCACGTGGCTGTGGAGAAATCGCTGCTTTGTCTCTCGCGTTGTCCTCGACAGCCTCTCGTTTCTCATCTCTTCATCCAAAACAAACAAACAAAGAATTAAAACAGTAACAACAAACTCCGCCATTAACAAGACCTCCTTCCCTCCTTTCTTCAATTTCCTTCATCATAAAAGAAAATGACACTAAACTTAGGCTCCTCCTGCCTCTCTCGCTTCTTACAATCCCCTCCTCCTCCACTCTCTAAACTCTCTCCAAAACCAAACTACACTACAGCAACTCTCCTCTCCCTCTTATTTTCTTTCAAAGCCACACTGTTTTTTCCCACTGCAAGAACACCACCTTTAAAACCACTCGCTTCACTAAGCCAATCCGAAAACGGTATCGCAGACAACAACAACAACTCTGTTTTATCACTAAATGAAGACTCACTTTCTAGAGTCTCCGCTGCTAAAGACGCCAATGAAGCATTACAAATAATCGCTGAAATCACTAACAAAAGCAACGGTTTAGTTAGCGTAACTGATTGTAGTGGCATCATAACTGCCGCCATTGATCGCGGCAATGCTGATTTGGCTCTCTCTGTTTTTTACGCTATGCGTTCCAGCTTCGATCAAGGTAGTTAGTTAGGTACTTAGTTATTTAGTGATTAATCAGTACTATTCAATTTGAATTTGTCTTCTTTTTTTTTTTTTTTTGGCAGGTGTTAGTGAGATTGGGAGATGGAAATGGTCACGGCCTGATGTCAGTGTTTACACGTCATTAGTTCAAGGTCTTGCTGCGGCATTGAAGGTTTCTGATGCTCTTAAGATGATAGATTATATTTGCCGCATTGGTGTGTCGCCTAGCGAAGAGGTAAATGTTGATTTATGGTCATGGTCATTAGTAAATGAAAAAATAGTCTATTAATAAGTTGTGGTTATGAAGCTTTGGATGTGGTTTTGGTAGGTGCCATTTGGGAAGGTTGTGAGATGCCCAACTTGTATGATAGCTGTTGCTGTTGCACAACCTCAACATGGCATTCAGGTATCTGAATACTAGGGCTTTGATAATGAGCTTTAATAGGATGATTAATCTCTAGCCAGGATGCGTGGTAGTTCTGAAATAAGTACAATTCAGGATAAATAATTGCTTGCGATATTGTAGTTTGATTGTTTGATTTGTTGTAGTGATGATATAATGCTTTTGCTGTAGATTGCATCTTGTGCCAAGTGCCGGTACAAATACGAGCTTGTTTCTGGGGATATCACTAGTATTGACTCAGAAGCAATCAGGTTGGTTTACTTCCATCCGTATTGTTGCAGTCAAGCTACATGCTGTCTGTTCTGCGTGTAAATTTTAAAATATGTAGTCAAGGGCATATCTACAGTGTTTCTTATTCGACAAGATATAGTTTGAACTGATAGATTCCTTTTTACAATAAACTAGTATGGTGTTGATCTTGGGATATTCACTTTTTCTAAGGAACTACTCCTGCCGAACGCAGCATGGATCTTCCGGCTTGGGAAAGGGGGCTCAGATTTTTGCAAATATTGAAGCAAAGTATTCCTGCAGCTGTTCACTCCATTGTGGTATGCTTTTTCTTCAATTTGAGTGTCAACTGATTTTTTTTATTTTTTTAATATCTGCTACCTTCCGAGTTTTAATGCAAAAATAATTTTCTCATCAGCCATTTCTGAAGTGGTATGGAACAGATAAGTTGTCATGGTATATGTAACTTTTATGGCCATCCTGCTCATGTTCCTTATTTTTAAAGAGTCCTGCCGTTGCATTGCAGAAAAGGTTTTTATGATGGTTCAAAATGGTAAACTCTCTTTTGTTAGTACCAGGAAGCTATTTAACAAGTTGATCTACTGGCCCCATATACTAGATAGGATTCGTAGGTTCTATACACCATTAACGCCCAAATTTGCCTTTTGGATGCTAAAAAACTCATCTTTAATGGCACTATTTATGTAATCTTCTTCTTCCTTCAGTGGCAAGTTTTGGCATATGGCATAATGGCAAATGTATCCTTGTCTGGTGTTCCTACTAGATTCTGGAGACCTGGAATTTGATTTTTGTGCTTCTTTTCTCACTGTACATCGTTACTGTTTTCACTGGACTAACCTTATAGTAACAAAACGAATACCTCCTAATTACACCATCAAATGTTACCTTTAGTTGTACTCATTCTCTTTGAACACTCATGATAATTTCTATCCATTTCTGCATTTCAGGTACAGACCCCTTCTGGTATGGCACGAACACAGAGATTTGCTACTGCAACAGTTGACCTTCCAGCACAAGAAGGTGAAAGGGTAACCATTGCTTCAGCAGTTCCATCAGATGTCTATAGAAATGTGGGCCCCTTCAAATTTAGTCCAAAGGCTCCCAATGTCTACCCTGGAGAACCTATGTGCCTGACAAACCATGAAAATGGTCGGGAGTCACTGTTGTTAAGAGCCCCTGTAAAAGATGGAAAGTTATCCTTGCTTAACCCTTCTGTCCTTGTTCCGCTTTTTACTGTCTTGGCCACTGGAGATGCTGCATCTGGTATTATTGATCCCAGCTTGCCCCAATTCCTTTTAGTTGCTGCTATCTCTTCTCTTGGTGTTGGAGCTACTCTAAATACACTGGTTTTCCCTAAATTGAACCAGGTGAACCTCATCTCCTGTTTTCTTGGAAATTTTTCTGTTAACTATTTTATGCTTTTGAGATTCCAAATACTTGTTTAGGACTTCTATCTAGCTCTTAATCTATTCATGTCATAAAAGTTCCAGCATTTAGCTACTAGACTCTGCATTTACTTATTTTAGACTCAGCATTTACTTATTTTTCTTGTTTATGTTTATTTTTCTTGTTTATGTCCATGCTTCATTTGTATCTGAAACAGAAGATTAATAATCTGGTTCCTTTTCCTTCCATCCTTTGTTTAGACTGTCACAGTTGTAAGGCTGCTAGTTGTAATTCAACGAGGCTAAATTTGTTCAAGTGATTTGGATGTTTTTCAATCTGTTAGAGATTCTTCTGAAGAGAACACAAATGAATACTCATTTCTTTGATGGTGCCAGCTTCCTCAAAAGTCGGTGGATGTAACTGCAATCAAGCAGAAGCTGTTGTCTCAGTACGACTTAATTCAGTCTCGCATCAAGGAACTAAAAGAAGCCGCTGAAAAAGAGGTATTCACATGCATACTGTGAGTGGTACTATCACAACTTCTGTTGTTAGTTTCTTGATATGACAGTAATATCTCAACTGGGTTCACATTATCTGTTGGAACCTCAAGTGCAATAGATGTGTTCGAAAGGTTTGGAAGAAATGACTGCAAGATGTCTATATGTTGCATGTATAGGTTTGGATGTTGGCTCGGATGTGTCAGCTGGAGAACAAAATTTTTGCTGTAGGAGAACCTTCTTATCGGTGAAATCTCCTTTGCATTTTAGCAGTCTAGCTCATATTTACTGAATTTATTCCAAATCTACATGTAGTCCCTTCTTTGTAGCTCACCCATTTCATTCTTTCAGTGCTCGTAGAACTAGGGTGAAAAGGGTCCGAGAAGGATTGGAAAATTCACTCAAAGGGCGGATTGAACTCATTGATAGCTATGCAAGAGTATGTATTTGACACTAGAGGGGTAAAAACGAAAAAATTTAGGGTTAACATTTTCGCTTAAATCCATGCCATCACCCCTTTTCACCATCAACAAGTGCACATTTATTGTGTTTCAGTTTCTGCGCCAAATTGGGATTAGTTACTATATGGTTGTTCTTCACTTTCAGATTTCTTCAATGATTGAAATTGAGGTTGAATTGGACTCTGATGTTCTGGCTGCTGAAGCAATGAGCAATGTGGTGCGTGATATTTTAATTGCTTCATATCCTTGATCTCTCAATGCTAAAACAAAGTTACTGAACTCAGTGATTTTTGTTTACAGGAAAGCATTGCTGAACAGATACAGCAAATCATGGAGCTGGAAAATCTTGAAGAGGCATGTTTTTTTAGTCTTTCTCATCTTTGGAAGCGAAATGGTCAAATTGAGATTGTTGAAGTCGTACTTTGAAATAATTACAGTGAAAGAAAAAAACTAAAACTTAAAAATGGGTGTGCAAACTTTTCTTGGGTCAACTCTTGAGATTAACTGTACTGGATGCTTGAAAAACGAATAGATCAATAGAAAGAGAAGGGATGAATTGTGTAAACAATCCGAGTATCCATTTGTCATGTATTTTGCTTAGTTTTCCGTTTACTATTTTTATTTTTTATTTTTTCTTCTTTTATTGAAAGAAAAATCTGGTTTGATGCAGAGATGGAGACTGAAAGCCGAAGCAAATGACGAGGCTGAAAGATTACTTAGTTCCCAACCTGTACCTACTGAGTGGGTTTAATCATGGTTCTGGTTAGAATTCAGCCACTAACCTCCAGTTTGCAAAGTGTTGCATTGATATACTTTAAACCTCTGCTCAATAAGATCTGCTCGGTTGAATCATCTAAAAAGCAGGCAGCAACTACGCGTGCGTGGATGCAATAACAGAACTACCATTGCACATCAACAATTAAATCTTGGCATGTGTGGAAATGGAGGATCAGAAGCCAGCTGCTTGGTTGTGCCACAGCCGAAATCTGTTCTGGAATTCATTGAGTAATTAACCCATTCAGCTACAAAGGTATTTCTTATGTGTGTTAACATATTTTAATGGAAATCGTGAAATTGATCACCTCACTTGTGAGTGTTGTAACACAGAAATGTCTGTACAAATATAGGGACTTGCTCTTATTTTTCCTCCTTGTTATTGTAGTTAAATTCTGATTATTCTGCAGAAAGAAGAAAGAAAGATTTCATGTTTCCTTTTGTGAAGCCGGGATTACTTGGTAATGGTCAACAATAAAAATGATGCTTTGCTGTCTCCATCTGATATCGTGTGGTAATCCTGTGAGTGGATTTCTTCTTTTTCCCCATTGCATGGTGCATTTGTTTTAGTCAAAAGTCGGTTGAAGCGAAAATAGGTGGCAACTATATTTCGTGGTTGAATCAACATTGTGACTGCAATTGGTTACCTAATTCAGCATTGCTGTTGGTCCAAGTGACACAGCATGAGCTAAGTGAATCAGTTAGATCTAACGATTTCTTTTCTTTTTGTCATTTTGTTTTTATCATTTGGTTTATTGTTTCTCTAGAGGTTTAGGTGTGGCGGTGATTGGAAAGAAAACTAATGTATGTGGCATAGCTCAATTGGCATGCCTCGTTGTTTCTAGTTTTTTTTAAAAAAGAAAGGAAGCCGGTGAGAGGGAGAGGGAGAGGGAGAGGGAGAGGGTGGCGGGGGTTGAAAAGCTGACAAGGACTTGTCCTTTTCTTTCCCTTTCATGTTCCTATGGTATTCGGTAGTGTGGAAACAAACTGATATTTAGTAGGGCTTTGGTTTTTACTTTTGAGGGTTGCAAAAGCTGCCAATCTAAAGGAATTTTTACAAGATAAAAAGCAAGATGACACGCGGAAACCTTGTTGAAGGCCAGAGAAGAAATGATCTGAACTTTGAAGGCCACCTTTTTTCTTTTTGGCTTTTGTGTCAAGTCAGGACAATGAACCAACATTGCAACCCAATTCGGAAAATTGTTATTTATGTCTAAAAAGTAGGTGAGTGGCTTGAATATGGCATTAAAGCTAAATTGGATCTCTAAGTATCTTTTTAGGCCTATAATGATGCAGATTTGAGCTCAAATCAAATCAATAAAATATGACAGTCTCATCAGCTACACCCTTAATTCTTTGTTGCCACAAAACTCCTTAAAGAGGCATATATTCGAGTTCTGGCGGTGTTTCTCGAAATGATCAGGTAATGCTTTGCAGTTCCTTGTTCTACACTTCTACCCAAGGATAGGGAGAAGCAAAGACGAGAAATAAGGTTTTTTTTTTTTTTTTTTTTTTTTTTTGGCTCATAGACACGTATGGCGTAGGAAAGCATTAACGTGGAAAGTGTATTGACTTTTCTTTTCCTTCCAATACCGTGAAAGATAATATACACGCACTCGGCAAGTTGGGCAGGAAAATTAGAATTTCAGTAAAGTGAACGGATTCCTTCCTCCTCAAGGTGAAATTTGTTTAGAATGGGAAAATATTTATTGCCAAAATATAAGGAAAATAGTAAACTAATTAGCAATAGTTTACACCAGTGGTGTCAAAAAAAAAAATCATCATAATTTTATAGGAGTAGTATTTTTTGAAGAGATACAAGGGAGGAAAAAAATATGGATAATTTTTAATGTGAGTATTTTGTTATTTAACTTTTTTATTTTTCAAGTTTACTCTAAAAATTTTTTACTTTTAAAAATGATGTCTGTCACTATGTTATAGCCAAACATTTTAATTTAAGGTACTAAAACGGGGATGACGGGGGCATTAAATTCAAAATTAGGTACAATTCAACTATTAATGTCTATTTAATTTATTGGATTGAATAATAAATTCACAGAAGCAATAATTGCAGCGTTCCACATTGCATAACTGTTTTTCTGTTTCATTCCCTCGGTCAAGCTCTGTCCCGAGGCTTCTGGACTTGAGTAGTAGCTACTTTTCCAACTAAGCATCCACTTTGAGGGGAAATTAAAATGCAAACGAACAAATACAATGGAAATAAATAAATAAAATATATGTAATGTTGAAGGAACCCTTGGAGGTTTGTCTAGTTGATAAATAGGTTCCCTTGCAATGAAAAATTTTTTGTACACCAGTGTATTTTCTTCTCTAAGGAAAGTAGATTATTCAATAATTTCCTTATCATATTGAATTCTTAAGGAAATGTCAAGAAAAGCAAAACTTGCAGTAGAACATTAATAATTAACCAGAAAAACTAAAATAAAATTATTGATTACTATTTATTATATTATTTGAAGTACTTGTTTATCCAGATTCATTGACACTATTCATCAAAACTCAAATGTATGTTTCTTTCATTGTATAATGATATTTTTATAATTTTTTAATATTTTTAATATATTTATTATGAAAGTTTTTGTAATATTATACTTTAGTCATTTTTAAAAAAATTATTTTTTTAGTCCGTAAGTATTTTTTTTTTGTTTCATTTTGGTCTCTTTTTTTTTATTTCATTTTGATCACTTTGGTCATTTTTTTTCTCTCTATTTTTTCATTAAAAATTTTTCAGAAAAAAATGTTTAGAAAAAATAATTTACAAAATAATTTTTTAGCTAAAAATCCATTGATTTTGACATTTTTTATATTATTATGAATTTTTTTTGTTGTGAATAGAGATAAATAAATAATAGTTCAAAAATTTTTGAAAAATATAAAGAATAATCAGTCAAATCCAAAATTTTGACTAAATATTATAAAATTGAATGAATGTTTATTTAGTTTTGATTTGATTTATTTTAATATATGCACAAAAATTTGATTTGATTTGTTTTCAATCGTTCTAATGTTTGTAATAAAAACCAAAAGAGAAAGCGAATAAATTTTTTCAATATATATTTTCTACCCGAGATAATAATTATAATATATAAGTATTCACATTTGCTATCTTGATATGATATTAATTTAGATGAATATTCTCAACAAATTTCTATGAGACTTTGAAGAAAGTAGTACATCATTTATAATAAAATTTATCCTTTCGGATAATAACATATTTGCTCTTCTAGAGCCTTTAAATTATGTCACTTTAAGTAATAATATATTGACTCTTCTAGAGTCTTTAAAAGTTATCTCTTCAAGTAATAATATATTTACTCTTCTAGAGCTTTAAAAATTTATCTCTTCGAGTCATAATATAGTCGCTATTATTGAGCTTTTTGTTAACTCGATATTATCAAATATAATATCAACGAGAAAATAAATAAATTCTTCATAATCATAAATAAATAGTAAAATAAAGTTACATTTATTTACGTGTAATAGAAATTATAAAAAAATTTAAAATATCTTATTTATACATAGAAAAACTAACAAGTTATTAATTTCAATTACTACCATTTTGATATATAAAATTAGCCTCTATATTTTACTCTTTCTTTTTCAACAAGGCTTCATAAGGTTCAATGAGGTGCTTTGGTGTACAACGAGTACGCGACCAATATCTATTCATGCCGGATCTATAACATTCATTTTCGGAATATTGACTTTATTTTTTTTCATTCTTTTTTTCATAGTTATCCACTTTTGGCGGTGAGATGTAATATTATGGTCATCACTTTGTAATGATAATTATTTTGACCACGTCCATGGCTATGATCACTTCTTTGTCCATGCCTAAAATTATTATAAATTACACATTCACTTCGAGGAATGGAGTAGATCCAATTGGACGAGATTTATTCTTTTTCATCAATAGCTTTTCATGTTATTTAGCCACGAATAAGTATGAAATTGATTCAAAATATTTCCTAAACTCTTTTTCTCAATATGCTAGTACATGAGCATATTCGAAACATGAAAAGTAGACAATATTAACTCGACATTAAACACTTATAATCAATAATTCTTGCCCAAAATGTCAAGGCCCACAAAATCAAATTTTGTGATGGTTAATATCATTAAAATTGTATATTGCAAAGTATAATAATAATCTTAGAAAATAAAAATAAAATATAATAATAAAATTTAAATAAAAACAAACATAATAATAAAATTTGAAATTTTCAAATAATATATATTAGATTATTAGATTCTATATATTAAATTATTTAAGTTTTTCAAATGTATATTCTATGTATTATTAGATTTAAAGTACATGATAAATTAGATACATACCTCTTAATGATCTAAATAATTTAGACCTTTTGGTAGAACACTTGTGTAGAAGAAATCCAATGGTTGAAACAAATGATTAAGTCTTTTAATAGATACATACCTCATGATGTATTATCTCAATTGGTTAAAGCTTCATGTTGATAACGTGTTATAAAAGAAATGGTTATAATGATAAAATTGGAGAGAAAAATGATAAACAAATGATTTCACTATGAAATAAAATGAGTACAAGGGATAAGAACTCTAAATAATTCTCTCAATTTCTACAAAAAACTTGTACATAAACTAATGAACAATCAAACCTATTTATAGGCTTCAAGATTAGGAAGAGAATTGAAAGAGACTCTAAACCATTAAAAAATACATAAATAATTGAATAAATTGAATCACTTTTTCAATTTCTCATATTGAATGATGAATTGAATCATATGAGTAGTAGTAAATATAAAATAATTATAGACATTCATTATTTCATAACAATATCCTCATTTTGCAAGCCGGATTTATAAATCTCTTTTCAACTATTATTAACATCACTTTTATATAGGGTTTTGTTTGACGTTCATCCTATAAATCTCTTTTCAACCATTATCAACATCACTTTTATCTAGGGTTTTGTTTAACGTTCATCCTAGGATGTAACCCATGTTGCTTTTCATTGAAAAAGAGAACAGATAAAAAATAAAAATAATAAGTAGATGACCATTATCGTAAATTCACAAAAAAATATAATAACAGCAAAGAATCTGAAACTGCCAAGGAAGTTTCATTACATTCAGCAACCAAAGATCCTGTAACAGAGAACACTCCTACCACCACGTGGCCGATTACCTCCTCTTCTTTCTCCTCCAAAAAAATTTATAAACACAAAAAACAAAACCCCTTTCTCAGCGTTATTTTCGCTTTCCCTTTTTCGCATTTATTCTCCCTTCTTTTCGTAAATACCGCACTTCAATTCTCCCGTGATCACCTCCTCCCTATTTATAAGAAAACAAATCCTCTTCCTTTCCATCACTCCAAAAAATACCTACCCTTCTTTTTCTATCCTTCTGTTTTTTCGTTTTTTGAATATTGCTGTTATTATGGCGAAGAGTATTTTGGTTACCGGCGGTGCCGGCTACATAGGAAGCCACACGGTGCTGCAACTTTTATTAGGCGGTTACAACACCGTGGTTGTTGATAATCTCGATAACTCCTCTGATATTGCTCTTGAAAGAGTTAAAGAACTCGCCGGTGATTTCGGCAAAAACCTCGTCTTTCACCAGGTTCGTTGCTGTGAACGACTGCTCGTTTTTCTTTTTTTAGCCAATGAATTGATTGTTTGGTTTGATTAATTCGTTAGGTTTAATTATGATAATTTTTGGTGATTTCGAGTTAATTAGGTTTATTAGATATGATGATTTTGTGAGAAATAACGGAAATGTTAGACTGTGGGCTGGTGGGCCCACTTATTCTTTTATATATGATAATACTGTAACAACAGGGTGCCTTATTCTTTTTTATTACTATTATATGATTGGTGAATTATGGTGCTGGTTTCTTCAAATTTTTTTTGCTTGAATTTGCAGGTTGATCTCCGGGACAAACCAGCTATGGAAAAAATTTTCGCTGAGACAAAGTATGATTATCATTTTGATTATTATTTATTGTTGATTTAATTGTTTTTTTTATGTTTATGTTATTGGGATTAGTTTTTCATATATTTTGGGGCAGCAACATTGGAATTATACTGTAATGATAAAGTAGGGCAAGTAAATTGCTAAACAGTGGATTACTAATAAGAGTGATTGGATATTTTGATTAGTATGTATTGTTAGACTAGATTTTTTTTTTTTTTGAAAAAAAAAAGAGAGAGAGCGAGAGAAAGAGAGCAACTAACACTGTTATTGTATTTACTCTTGCTGCGCTTCTAATTTTTTTCTCTCAATTTCGTTGCCTGTTTATGCTGCAGATTTGATGCTGTCATTCACTTTGCTGGGCTAAAAGCAGTTGGTGAGAGTGTGCAGAAACCATTGCTTTACTTTAACAACAATCTCATTGGAACAATTACTCTGCTAGAAGTTATGGGTGCCCATGGATGCAAGCAGGTAATTTTCTCTAGGTTGCTTTGTAGATATATTGTGATACCTTATGTATTGGTGAAGGCTTGCTTGAATAATCTTAGGTTTTTCTTTTCCCTATGTTTTCAGTTGGTGTTTTCGTCTTCAGCTACTGTTTATGGTTGGCCAAAGGAGGTTCCATGTACAGAAGAGTTCCCTTTGTCTGCTGCTAACCCATATGGAAGAACCAAGGTTTGCTTCTAATGTTCACTAAATGTATTCAGGCTTTCAATCTCTTAGGCTCTCACTGAAGCTTGTTTCCTTGTGCTCTTCAAAATTTCAGCGAAGATTCTTTTTCTTAGAGCATAGTTTTCATCTGAAAAGTTTGATCTTTCAGCTTTTCATTGAAGAGATCTGCCGTGATATCTACCATTCAGATTCTGAATGGAAGATCATATTGCTCAGATACTTTAATCCAGTTGGTGCACATTCGAGTGGCTATATTGGTGAGGATCCTCGTGGAATTCCAAACAATCTCATGCCCTATGTGCAGCAAGTTGCTGTTGGCAGGCGGCCTCATCTAACAGTTTTTGGAACTGATTATTCAACTAAAGATGGTACTGGGGTATGTTTTCATTGTCAGCATTCTACGTTTGTTACATTTTTCACGTATTTGCATGACTCTTTTTGTGTTTGAAGCACAAACGGGTTTGATAACGGTGCTTCTAGAATTCTTCCCTAGTTGAAAGCACATAATCACTTCTTAAGTTCTGTGGTCAATTTATACATTGAAGTTGTAAATATCACAACTTGCTAGGTTCAGCTGATGTTGGGAAGCCTTCAAAGTATATGTCAATAATTAGGTTAAGGAGCACTGCAAAAAGAGTATTGGAAAAAGGGATGGTCTTTTCGTTAGTAAAATAAGCGTACTGGATTGTGTTCATCTGAATCCTTTGTGGAACTAGGAACTTGATAACAGGGCTGTTTTTTTTTTTTTTTTTTTTTTTTTCCCCCGGTAGTCTTGGCTTCCTTACAATCATATGGGTTTGTAAACTGTATTTTCCACTTTGCATGATGTACCTAGAGTTGTCGGTTTGTGGAATCTCTCATCACTGGTTTAAGACTATCAAATTGTGGTTATGAACTTCATCTCTGTTTTGGTAGTAGGGGTAGGCATGAATCTGCTGTTAACTCTTTCCTTTTTGTTCACTCCTCTTGATGGCTTTTATTTCTTTCCAGGTACGTGATTACATTCATGTTGTTGATTTAGCGGATGGGCACATTGCTGCGTTGCGTAAGCTCTCTGATGCTAAGATAGGTATGCACTTATGCCCTTTTCCGTTATGGCAACCCAATTGTTTTTTCTCCAATACATTAAGATCCAGGCTCACAGTTTGGGAATTCTTAAATAGTCGATAAGTCAAAACTGATTATTTTTATTGCTTTTAGTACATCTCATGAAAATCTGATAAAATTGGACCTGGTTGATGCATCTCACAGGTTGTGAAGTGTACAACTTGGGAACTGGAAGAGGTACATCAGTTCTGGAGATGGTTGCGGCATTTGAAAAAGCATCTGGAAAGGTACTGAAATTTTTTTCTGTGGTTTCATCATACCTTCTTAAGTTTTGGCAGTACTTTTCACTGTTGAAAATTTCAATCCTGACATAGAGTTGTTCGAAACTTCTTGTGTAGTAATTAAGTAATCTGGCATTTGGGTGCCCTTGATGTAACCATTCACCCTCTAGTTTGTGGTTGCCTGGCTCTGTTTAGAGCTTTGTAAATCACAGGGAAGAGAATAATGTTTCCAGGTTAGACTACATTGATGATTATATAAGGAAAGCATGAATCAATTTTGACCGGAGCCTAAGCCAATTTCCTTGTCACCTCTAAAGCTTCTCTTTTTAATAAATCCAGTTGCAAGTCCTGATATCAAATTAGTGATCATCTATATAAAGGAATTAAAAATTTTCATTCTCTGGACAGGTGAGCTGGAACCCCCCCCACCAAAAAAAAAAAAAAAAAAAAATTCCTGTACTTATTTTTCCTGAGAGTTCCTTCTTCTTTTTCCAGAAAATTCCTCTAGTAATGGCTGCACGGCGGCCTGGTGATGCCGAAACTGTGTATGCAGCAACAGAGAAGGCAGAACGTGAATTGAATTGGAAGTAAGTGTGAAGATGCATACAATTATCTGTTTCCAATGCAGTTTGTGGCAATAAAAGCTGGATGGGGCTTTGGTGCTGTTATCTAGTGTAGATCTCGTCAAATTTCCTTTATTTGCCTCTTTAACATGCATAAATTTCTTGTAGGGCAAAATATGGCATTGATGAGATGTGTAGGGATCAATGGAAATGGGCCAGCAAGAACCCTTATGGCTATGGATCTCCTGACGGCACTAACTGAAAGTTCATATCCGTCTCTATTGTAGACTATATATTGTCTTGTGTTCTGTAAAGGCATCCAGAGCATTAGGTTATCTAAGTATTACTTAGCTGATAAACATGTTGAAACTATCATTCCTAGAATAATCTGCCCCGTCATGCTGGGTTTCTTCTGTTTAAAGGTTCAATTTGTTGTCCCTTTCGTGGAACACTTTGCCCGTGTGGCATGCATCGATATTCACTGGTTCTGATGAAGAACCTTTCCACTAATCTGGTTCCCCTTGTTCTCTTACCCACGGAATCTAGAAATTTTGTTCTTGAAAAAACTAAATGTGCTGCAGACTGAAGAGTGGTGGCTTTTGTTTGTGGATTCATGATTGCAATTTTTATGTTGATATCATTAGTGAAAGCTGAGAAGGCAAGGGTGACTATGAATTTGCTCGTCTTGTTCAGCAACTAATATTTTTTCTTCTAAGGCAACGTATCCCTATGATTAAAGGGACTGTACAGTGAAGCCGCAAGACATGGATGGTGCTTCTGCAAAAAATGTGTAGATGATTTTGGACTAAAACAGCTTCAATCACCATTTTTGAAAGATGTTTTTCAATGGTTTAACATCTTAGCATTAAAACCATCTAGAGTCGGATTCATACTTTTTAGTCCGAACGCACATTTAAATGAAATCTAAATACGTTATTACACGCATCCATTCGTATCTGATTCACGTATGCTGTTCGAAGACTTTAATTTTGTCGGTGGGATTTCTAGTCTTTGGCTACTCATGACTGCCTCTCTAGTTTGGGACTTGAATTAACCTTGGCTTGGCTCTTCTTTAGAGTGGACCTCCTCTTTTAACAGAAGAGGAAGGCAAAGCCTCTTTTGAGAAGAGGAGATGCGGACCAGGGGTGACAATAGTCGAGTATTTAGTCTACTAATTCAATTTTTACCTTATTTATTATTTATTTATCCGTCTACTAATTTAGTTTTTATATTTATTTATCCAGTCCATACTTAATTCAGGTCAGTTTAATCTTTCATTTATTATCTATTTAATATCTATTAAAAATATTTTATTTTAGTCTCTATAATTTTAAGAAAAAGTTTTTTGGTCCTTAAACATTATTTTTTTTATTTTGGTCCTTCATTTATAAGTTTTTGGTCCTTAATTTTTTTTTAAAAAATTTTAATTCTTAACTTTTGAAGTTTATGTAATTAGATATTTATATATTAAAAAATAAAATAAATTAGTGAGTATTAATAAGATAAAAAAATAGATAATTATATTTTTAAAATATATTATTGGATATTTATTATTATTTTTTTTTATGTTTATTCATTTCAATATACATTTGACATTTTCGATAAGATTGTACAAAAGAAATATTTGTTTTATATCCGGTTAATTACAATTTAGATAAGACAGTTGTTGATGTTTGCAAGAGGACACATAGGGAATGATCGCAGGCGACGACGAAGGAACAGGCACGCATTGCCATGGAAAAAGAATTTATATCCTGCGGTGCAAATCAATATCAGATTAAGCAATAACTCGGGAAAGTACCATTGACGGAGAGGTGAAAGGTGAGTTTGAAATGAACGGTTTAGTGTTGATCTCACCTGTGGACTGTCAATAAAAACTCGGTAAAGTATTTTGCCTTTCAATTCTCTTTTGAAAACTTGTCAAGTAATGCTTTTTTGTGCCGTTGGTGTTGCAATAGGTTGAAAATGCCTAACGCCAAACGATGGGCGGACCCAGTTTTATTGAAAAGGATTGTTTGAATCGGAGAGGCATGCCCACAAGGCGGCACGCCCTTGGAGCCACATTCAGTAGCGGTTGGAACAGCTTCCAAGATCCAACCGACAGTCGTTCCTTTCAATTCTCTGTTTATTTTTTGTTTTGTTTTTAATGTTTTAAAAAAGTAAAGTAGAACTTGTTTAGTTTTGGATTTTATTTTTTTTAAATGCAAAACCAACTGCTGTTGTTATTATTTTTTAACACAGGCTGTTATCATTCTTTTCAAAAACTGACCCAAAAAAAAAAAAACAAGTTTTATGGAAATAAAGGAACCCTTCTATGTTTATTGGTTTTGCCAATTCACATCAAGATTTCGGGTTGGAACCCAAGGAAATGCCATAAGTTGTCGATGGAATATGGAAAAAAGACTTCAAATCGATACATAAAATTAATTTGACAATACAGTTTTTTTTTTTTTTAAGGACCAGCACACTTGTTAGAGCGGTTAAAACAAAGATGTAAGAAAATTGATAGAAATTAAAGTATCTCAAATCTTAGAAACTTCATTATTGGGGACCCAACGGCTTCATTATTGAGTGCCCAAGAAAGGAAAAAGTTCTCATCATTTAAGAAAGGTGGTTCAAATTAAAGATCTTGAGGAGAGCTCTTAACGGAAACAGTTCTCGTCATTTTGTGACATTTTCGTGCCATAAGATCGTGCACTGTAGCACTGCTCGCTCTTAAATATAATAGATGGATGTCGGTTTGTATAACGTTATTTTCTTAGGAGGCTATTGGTAAATAGCATGTTTATTTTTCGCTTTTAGTTTGAATAAATAGTTTAATATGTTTTATATAATAGTTTGATTTTTTAATCTGTTTTTATATTTTTAATTACACATATTATATATCTGAATATTATTTTAGTCTTCAGTCTTTTTTTTTTTATCAATTTTTTTTTACATTTAGCAATTTTTTACCAGAATGTCCCTAATTAAATGCCAAAAAAAAAAAAAAAAACTAAAGTCACTCAACTTGTATTTTGAAGTTTTTTTTTAAAAAAATAATTTGCATTTTAATCAGGGTAATTCAATCAAAAAAATATTTATAATAAAAAAATATATTAAAAACTCAAACATTATTAAAAGTATATATATAAATACAGGTTGAAAACGGATAAGTGTAAATAATTTAATTCATATGACAAAAACTACCTTGTTTTTTATAAATAAAATTAAAATAATTTTATTTTTGTAAATAAAATATAAATATACCTTATTAAAAAAAAAAAAAAACTGGAGAGGTTGCTGCACTACTAATTTGTCTATGACACAATCTTTTTTTTTTTTTTTCTTGCGAGTTAAAATGACAAAATTAGTCTTCTTCTAGCAAGAAATGTCTTTTCAATCACCTATCCAACTTTATTTTCTCTCGTGTAAACTAACATTATCCCATCCAATCTTCTACAAATCGAATTAGTTGACACAGAAAAAACAATCAATCCCTTTAAAACATCCTCCATCTTGATAAAATTAACAAAAAGGCTTTAGGATTTTTTTGGATCTTGAAAACCATTTAAGCAAGCACTACCTAACTACACCAGCCACCATTCTCGTAGCAATTTATAATTTCTTCATATTGATTTTTAAGATCTCAATATTAAAATCATCTATTCAAAGACTCAAAAGAATAGAAAGAAAACCATTAAATCCAATACCCAACACGAATTTAGTATAACTGAAAATATGAGATTTTTTGATAGCATAGGTTCCGAAAATATAATCAATAGTGAAATTTTATAATACATAAAAAATAATTAGTAACATGTATAATAATTACTTTATAAATCTATTCGAGAAGAGAGATAGATATATTGAATTACATATAGACCCATCAAAAGCGATAAAAAGTTTCATGTTTGGTCAATTTTTTTAATTTTCTCTCTCCTGTTTTTCTCTTTTTTTTTTTTTCTATCTCTTTCCTCATAGTAGATCAACTCTTTATGTATTATCAAATTTCTCGCTTGGTTCGTTTATGTAAAATCATAAAAAGAAAATAAAAACCTTTTATATTAAAAAAAACACCAAATTCCAACATCAAACAAATTATTGGTCAACTTTACACTTTCTGTACTTGTAAATCAAAATTATTAGAATTTGAATTCAAATTCCACAAAAATCACGAAAAAACAGAAGAAAATTTGAAGAGTGTTGATGGCGCATCTAATCAGAAACGATTTAAGCTAAATCCAAGCGAATTCAAATTCTATGAATTAACTTTGTTTCTTTATTGATTATGATAACCATTCATGAATCTAAATTTTCTTGTGAATACTTAAAAAAAAAAAAAAAAGGAACATGGCCGTTAAAAATAAATAAATGGACTAATTTTGTTTTTCAATGCGGCAAAGGTCCAAACACACCTTTGAAACAAGTAAGAAAAGCAGTGAGCATTGACATAGAAAATATAGCAAAAATTTTTCTACTGTAATCTAGCAGCAGCCGGCCTTGTCCCCACATTCTCCTCCTCATGCCTTTCCATTTCAAAAACCACTAAATAAAACGCGCTTCTCCTTCTATTCTCTATCAACACAGAACTTCAAATTCAAGCTTCTCCTTTTTCTCAGATCCATCCTCTTTCAAACGCCACCGTTTCCGTTAGATCCATCCTCGATCTGAATCTGACCCTCAGCATACCAAATCACCGCCACCGATCTCCATCTCTGCTTTAGCGATGGAGAACTTGATTTCCTTAGTAAATAAAATTCAAAGAGCTTGTACTGCTCTTGGTGATCATGGTGAAGCTAGTGCATTACCTACTCTGTGGGACTCGTTACCCGCCATCGCTGTCGTCGGTGGCCAGGTCCGCCTCTAGATCTCTCTCTTTCACTTATTCAAATCTGTGACCTGATATTTGTTGACTAATAGTTGTTTAATTCTGTTTTATAGAGTTCAGGGAAGTCATCAGTGTTGGAGAGTGTAGTAGGGAAGGATTTCTTACCTCGTGGATCCGGTAATTGACTTATAATTCTGTTTCTTGACTTTTATAATCGAATTGTTTAGGGTTTTGCTGCAATTGGAGTGAGAGAGTGATGTGATTGTTTGTCCTTATAGGTATTGTTACGCGACGGCCACTCGTGTTGCAGCTTCATAAGATCGATGAAGGAAGTAGAGAATACGCTGAGTTCCTTCATCTCCCGAGGAAAAGATTTACTGATTTTGGTACGTTTCTTTATCTCTGCTGTGTTGTTTATGTATGGTTAAAAAAGTTTTGTGAAGAGGTTGTGTTTGTGGTTTTTGTCATTTTGTCTTTTTTGTTGATTGGATGGTAATTTTTGAATTATGGTTGTTAATGATGGTTTTATGTGTGTAGCTGCGGTGAGGAGGGAGATTCAAGATGAGACTGATAGAGAGACTGGTCGATCAAAGCAAATTTCTAGTGTTCCAATTCATCTTAGTATTTACTCCCCTAATGGTAATTCTAGTTTCAATTTAAAATATCCCTACCTAGCTCTTGCTTCGGGTTTGTATCTCGCTTATGGAAACAAAGTTATGTTTCAGATGCTTTTTCTATCTGTATTTAGCCACATTTTGCATACATTTAAGTTTTTTTTTTTTTTCATTATTTCTGAATTTGCATGACTTTTTTGGATTTTGGCAGTTGTCAACTTGACATTGATCGATCTTCCTGGGCTTACTAAAGTAGCAATCGGTAAGTTGCATTTGTGCTTCTAATCTTGAGTGTCAGTTATCTGAGTACTTTCTTCTTTACTATTCTTTTGGTTGCTGAGAAGACAAAGGAAAATGAATGCAATAGTGTCAGTCTCATCTTGAAACCCTCAATATTTTTGTTTATATCAAATCAGTTTTTGCTTACACAACAGTTTGGCCATTTTAAGATTTTCCCCAGAATCAACTAGCATAAGGTTAAAAAATATCCTCCTTTATTTGTGGCTATTTTTATAGCATGGTTATGAGGTTATATACTGACAGTTTATGAATATCCAACATCAATTTTGAAATGCAGAGGGTCAACCAGACAGTATTGTGCAAGATATTGAAAACATGGTTCGCTCTTATATTGAGAAGGTAATGTACATTTCATTACTAAAACTCTTTGTATCCTATGGGAATAGTTGTATAATTTGGATATTTCACTCCTATAGGTGTAAACTTTTCATGAAATATTTGTCAGCTTAGCAGGCCAATGATTCTTAGAAAATTTGTATAATCATATTTTATATCCCACCTTTTTTCTTATGCTGTAGTATTTTTTTGTATTTTTATATAATGAAACTTAACAAAGTCCCACTATTTTGTTTCCTCAAATATAATGCAGCCCAACTGTATAATTTTAGCAATTTCACCTGCCAATCAAGATCTTGCTACCTCTGATGCTATTAAAATCTCCCGTGAAGTGGACCCTACAGGTAATCTTGTGCAATATTTGTACTTTAAAATCAAAACATCAAAACTCTGTGATATATCATTGATTGCACAAACATTTAGTTCATATAAATCCTTAGATGTTCTGGTTCTTAGATTGATTTGTTTTTCAGGAGAGAGGACCCTAGGAGTCTTGACAAAGATCGATCTTATGGATAAGGGTACTGATGCTGTTGATGTAAGTTGGATTTGGTTTTTTGATTTGATTGTATAGCATTCAAGGGATATAATGATGCTACTGTTATGCAACTGGACATGTTTTTAAGTTCTATATTCATGCTTCTATGGATGCTGGCAGCGTTCATTAGAATTTGCAAGAAAATTTTTGTAGGCACAATTTTACACAATTAACAAGTGATCTCATGTTCAAAAACATTAATTCATTTGATGGGCACTCTCCTCTCTTCACCAACTTGTCCTTGTTTCCTGGAAATTGTAATTTCTAATCAGGTTTAATTGTGATGTGCTTTATACGAAAGAGAGAAGCAATCTCTCAGTGGATGACATACTATCTTATTTGGGTATTTGGGTACTCTGATTTTCTATGCTTTCTGTTGGGCTGTAGCTTGATAAATTTGGAAATTCATGATCACTTATTACTCGGGGATCTTTCAAGGGAATTACAGTTGAAAAGTTTCTTTTTTGGGTCTGTTTTAGTGGCAGGAAATTAGGATATAGGCATCAGCTTTTCTTGGGCAGCAAGTCAGCAGCTAATTATCAGATCTGAAGTTGAATTTCATGGTTATTCAATGGAAGTGAGGATTTTTGGATGTTTAATCAACAGCAGCTACTTGTGCTGTGAGCTTAATCTGGGTTTCTGTAGCTGCAGTGCTTGGAGAATGAAGAAAGATACTAGATATGCTTGCCTTCAAATAATCAAATGCTCTAATCCGTCATTGGAAGTTTAAGAAACTAGATTACATAGATATTATTAAAAAAAAAAAAATCTTGTAGACTTTTAGAAATCTTAAAAAGAAAATACTAATCTGATCCCAAACTGCTTGGCTATAAAATTGGGTATAAAGCATTTGGTCATTGAGGATTACACAAGAGTCCTGCATCATAGAAGCTCTAAGTTTCCAACATGAAAAGTTGAAAATAGCCAATTTCTTTTATGTGGCTGTGTAATCTGCTAATTTCCTGCTTTATGTTTCTTTCTAGATGTTTTGCAATTTAGGTGCATGTTTGTTTTTCTATTAGAGATGTTACATGCCTTAAGCATTATCACAATCATGAGTTACTTTTTTACTTTTTCAGATATTGGAAGGAAAATCTTACCGCCTAAAATTTCCCTGGGTCGGTGTTGTGAACCGCTCACAAGCGGATATTAACAAGAATGTGGACATGATTGCTGCTCGGCGTAGAGAGCGTGATTATTTTGCCACCACCCCAGAATACAAGCACCTTGCCCACAGAATGGGTTCAGAACATCTAGCAAAGATGCTGTCAAAGGTGATCGATGAGCTTTCTGTCCTCTCCCTTTTACTTTAGATTTGTCCAAGTTTCATATGTTTTGAAAGACTTTCAAGCATCATAGTAATCACTAATTACTATGGTTAATACTGCAGCATTTGGAAGTTGTAATCAAGTCCAAAATTCCAGGCATTCAGTCCCTTATCAACAAAACAATTGTTGAAATTGAATCTGAATTGAGTCGTCTTGGAAAGCCTATTGCTGCAGATGCTGGAGTAAGTGCTTTTAACTTGACATATTTTAACCACCTATAGGTATATAAAGGTCAGGCCAAGTGAATCTCCCTCCCTCTTCCCCTTCTGTGCGTGTATGTGGATTGCTAATTATTGTTGCTTGACTTCAGGGAAAGATGTACTCAATCATGGAGATCTGCCGCCTTTTTGATCAAATATACAAAGAGCATCTTGATGGCATGTATGTATCATGCATTATTTTTTTCCTTACTTACCAGCTTGATTTTGTGATGCAGTTCTATATTTTGTCAATTTTTATTTTCAAGCAATTTAATTTGATATAGTCATTGTTGTTTGCAGCCGACCTGGTGGTGATAAGATTTACAACGTTTTCGATAACCAGCTTCCTGCTGCTCTAAAAAGGTTACAGTTTGACAAGCAACTTTCGATGGAAAATATTCGGAAATTGATCACTGAAGCTGATGGATATCAGCCTCACTTGATAGCTCCTGAACAAGGATATCGTCGTCTCATTGAATCTTCTGTAGTTACTATCCGAGGTCCTGCTGAGGCAGCTGTTGATGCGGTATGCATAAAATTTAAAAAACTATTGGACATTCCCTTTACATGATTGAAAAGTTAAATTTCTTACTTCTGCTGCATTCTACTTCATGTGGCCTTTAGCTTAGTTGATGTTGTACAGACTGAGCTGCCATATGTTTCCCCAAAATTTAACAATTCAGGATCTCTTAATACGAGATAATAGTGGAAGAAACAGTTTGAAGTACCTTTAGGCATCATATTCAACTGTAATCATGGATATTGCCAACCCAAATGGGCTAAATATGTGTTTCAGAACTTGGTTCTTTAAGTTAATTTTGTTTGGTCCTAGGAACAGTTCAGGATCTCTTAATATGAGATAATTGTGGAAGAAACAGTTTGAAGTACCTTTTAGGCATGATATTCAACTGTAATCGTGGATATTGCCAACCCAAATGGTCTAATGTGTGTTTCAGAACCTGGTTCTTTAAGTTGATTTTGTTTTGTCCTCGGAATTAGTTCATGTTCGAAATTGGGATTCCGATCTCCAGAAAACACTTTCCGCCATAATATGCTGGTCAGCCAGGCCCTATGTTCACTATAACAGCCTTCTGGACTATCTCATCTTACCAGGCTGGAATGCAAAAAGTGAGGAGGGGGAAGTGGGGTGTGGTTTTCACCTTCAAAATCGGCTGTGGGGTGGTGGGAGAGACAAATTTGAGAGGGAGGCCACATAGGGTTTCCGCCCAGGGCAGGTCCTCTTCTTAGAGGGAGGATGGGAAGAGGATCCCATATGATTTTTGGAGGGAAAAAGTCTAAATGGAGAAAGCAACAAGTCCCCTCTGCAGGAGTGATTGATTTTCTTTTTCTTCTTGTTTTTTCACTCTTCTATTTGCAGTTTTGGAATCTTGATGCATTGCATGATTTTCAATTAACTGATGCTTGTATGTTTATAATCCAGGTTCATGGCCTTCTGAAGGAGCTGGTTCACAAGGCTATCAGTGAGACTATTGTAAGCTCCTATCATTGCCAAGTCTAATTGCGTCTATTAAATCCTTGTTCTTGCTGCGTTTTGGTAGCAAGGTTTAAAGATCTTAATGTCTTATATGTATGCAAAAGGGGCTTACATTCCCTGAATTGGCTTTGGTACAGTTCTGCTCCATGGTTAAGTACGCTGACAGTTTCCCCTTTTCTTTTAGATGCTTTTGTGTATTTAAGCAGCCAAATACGTTGTACCATACTGGAAGTTGCATTACCTTTTGATATCAGTGAAATAAGGCAATACTTTTTAGGAAAATAGAAATGAATACATCTTCAAACTCAGTTTGTCATGTTTGAGAATTTGGTACCTAGGAGTATTTCAGAAGGTGAGAGAGGGAAGAAAAGGCGAGACTTGAGAACATGGCACTTCACAAGAAATAGTCAAAGTAATGACTGATACCTTTGAACGCATGGAGGAAAGTGTCTGCTTCTCTTAGCTTGCCACATTTAATGGACATTTAGCAAAAATTCGAGTTTTGCCATTGTCCATTATCTGGAAACGTCTAATGTTTTATTGTGTATGTGTTCCAATAATGTGATTGGAAGGCATTTCTCGAGAATTAGTTTCCACCACCTTATTTTTCTTAGGCATTTGATTTCAAGCTATTCAATAAGTTGAAAAATTATGCTGCTAAAAGAAGATTTGAGTCAAACTGGGTCCTCTTCCTTCTGTGTTTTATCCTTTTTCTGTAGTATTTGATTACATCTGATGCTTTAACCTGATTTTTCATTATACTTCCAGTTGGTCCCCATCAGTTAATTTTTCAGGCTGTTGGATAATGTTGCTTGTGATGACTCTCAGGAGTTGAAGCAGTATCCTGCTCTTAGAGTGGAGGTCAGTAATGCTGCTGTTGACTCACTTGACAGAATGAAGGAAACAAGCAAGAAAGCAACACTTCAGCTGGTCGACATGGAGTGTAGCTACCTGACAGTGGACTTTTTCCGGAAGCTTCCTCAGGATGTCGACAAGGGTGGCAACCCAACACATTCTATATTTGATAGATATAATGACTCATATCTTAGACGAATTGGTAAGTTTAATGAGTTCGACTAGCCCTTAAATTGATGATCTGTACTTTCTAAGCTATAAAACTATTTTTATGTTGTCACTGAAAAAAAAAAAAAAAGAATGGATTATGGTTTCAATCCTTGCATGATTGACTAGTCACTGCGACTGATCTTAGGATTTATCCTTGCAATATGTGAACAGGATCTACTGTTTTGTCATATGTCAATATGGTCTGTGCAAGTCTACGGAACTCCATTCCAAAGTCAATTGTTTATTGTCAAGTGCGTGAGGCCAAGCGAAGCCTGCTTGACCATTTCTTCACCGAGTTGGGGAAACTGGAGGTAAGAATGAAAATCATCTTTAATTGTTATCTATATGTATTCTTGGTCAGATTTGATACTTTTGTTGATATCATGATGAATGCAACTGACTTTTGAATTAATCTCTGCAGCAAAAGCAATTGTCATCTTTATTGAATGAGGATCCCGCAATCATGGAGCGCCGGGCTGGCCTTGCAAAGAGACTTGAGTTATACAGGAGTGCACAAGCAGAAATCGATGCAGCTGCTTGGTCTAAGTAGATATTGCAGCATTTGAATCGCCCATCTATTTTTGCACGAGAATTTGGCTTTATGGCTTTGTGATTCTTTCATTTGTGATGGCTGGCTTGTGTTGCGGAAAAATGGCGAGCAAGAGTTTGTTGTATCCTATACAAGTAACAAAAGGTCATGTTAGTAATTTCATAGGTGACAATTTGTTGCTTTTTCCCTAACCGTTTATCAATCACTATGAATTGATTGTATTTTTACAAACTTACCATGCTTTGCATACCTGGATGGTTGACAGCCGGATTTTGTAATATAAAGTATTGCTAGCCAAAGTGTGACCTTTTCGTCTTTGAATCTGCAAGCCTGTGCAAATAAATATTCGCAATCCCAAAAAATAAGCCACTCCATGGATGCTGGTGATATTTTAGCTTATGGACTACCAAAAGGATTTAATCTATTTAAAATTCCATGAACTACTAATTGGCTCGTGTTGTAATGGCATCATTCTCCTTGTGATCCCCCAGATTCAGACATTGGAGATTGACTTTGAGGGGCGGTCCTAGCATAATTGGTATCCATGTCTTTTCTCCAAGAGGTTTTGAAGTCAACTGTTTGCCTTTCAATTTTAATTTAAAGAAGAAGATAACAAAAGAAACAAAAAGAAAAAAAATTGAGAATTCAATCCCTTTGTTTGTTTTTGACTTACGTTTTATTGCCATGTGAGAAGAAAAAAACAAACAAACAAACTACGAGAAAGGACCGTAGACGACATGTCAGGTAGTGAATGTACACGACGCTTCATTTAAGATTCAACTTAAAAGAGCACCGACGATTGTGCTGTGCATGTGCCACCCTGACGAAACAGCGTCGTTTGGAATGACCTTTCTTAGCCTTTAAAAAGTCCGACACCACCACTTCCCTAACAGCAACACTTCAACCCATTCTGCCGTGTCACCAACAACCTCTGTTAACATTAACACACCTCATCTTCCACCTTAAATAGAAACAGCAGGAGGAAGCCAAAAAACAAAAAAACAAAAAAAACCTTTCTTTCCATATATATATATATATATATATATATATCTATCATATCATTAGATCTGTTCTTCCTTTGAATTGATCCAGGTATCGTTCTCTTTCTTCTATTTAGATGCCCATTATAATCTCTTAGAACTTTATCAACTTTTTCTTTCTTAGTTTGCTATGTTAGAAATCATGAGATGATATGAGTTGTTAGAAATATCATTTCCCTTGTATAATGCATTATTAAAGTTTTCTCTGAAACAAATTACTTTCTTTGTTAGGGACTGCGGTGGGCTCAAGGGATATATTGTTTTTCTTAATTCATATTACTTTATTTTTTCCTGAAGATATTTTTTTTGGCATTTGATTCAGAGGGAAAGTTCTAATTTTAACTGCAATTGTCCATTTGTGATGAATCTGGCTCAAGGGCCATTGTCAAAGAGTTTTATGCTGACGATGATAAAGATTGTGATCTCAAGTTTTTTTTTTTTTTTTTTTTTTTTTTTTTTTTTATGGAAGAAAATTTATAAATTTTAAATTATGATTTCTGTTTGGATGGAAGGTATTTTTGTTTTTATTGGAACTTCAAAGGTATCCTGAAGAGGAAACTTTCATATGGGAAATTTATGTATCTCTCAAATGGATTTGTTACTTTGTATTAGTTGAACTTGTTGAGAATTGTTCTTTCCACTAAAAACTTGCCGATGGGTTTAACTTATTTGTTATCTTTCTTGTGTGTGGAGAATCTGACTGCATGTGATCTATAGACCCATGAAATCTAGTTTTGGACTGGTAACCACTCGCTGGTTTTTATTTGAGCAATGCAGTGGCATCTTGGAGGATATCAAGAAGCGGCGACAAGAACATATGGTACTATGGCCTCTGAGAGGGAAGACTTTAGCCTCTCAGGACCATTACACCTAACTATTGTCGACTGGTAAGCTCGTTGATGCTTTCATATAATTTTCCCGTCGTTGAGGAACTCATGTACATCAAAAACATCACATGATTTTTGGGCCTACACAATTTTGTGAATGTGATACAGCAGCCATATTGGTCCTGCTGTTTTGAATAATCTTTACCAATGAAATATTTGTGACGCTAAGCAACACAGTAATTAGGTAAAAGTATATTTATAATACCAAGATCATGTGGGAAACAATGTTATTTGCGATCTTGTGCAGGTCAAATGCACATCATCGAAGATCTGTTGCTGCCAGTTTGGTTCAGGGTGTCTACATTCTAGAGCGGGACCGCCAGCTGAAACGTCAAGGTCCCCAAGCTCTTGCTCCTCCCTGGTGGGAGTTCTTTCACTTTCAGCTGTTTCGTCACCTTGTAGATGATGTGGATTCCTCCATTTTTGGTGCCATTTATGAATTCAAGCCTCCAGAATCTCATTATCACAATTCGGTAGATGAAAGCCCTCGTTATGTAATTGCCTTCCGTGGCACCATAACCAAGCCAGACTCCATGTCACGGGACCTAGAGTTGGACATCCACATTCTCCGAAACGGACTTCATGAGACATCTCGATTTGAGACTGCTATCCAAGCAGTCCGAAATGTGGTTGCTACTGTAGGTGAATCAAATGTCTGGTTAGCTGGCCATTCCCTGGGAGCAGCAATGGCATTGCTTGCTGGAAAGACCATGGCAAAGACCGGCATCTTTCTACAAACTTTTCTCTTTAATTCACCATTCTTCTCTGCTCCGATTGAGAGGATCAAAGATAAGCGAGTGAAACATGGGCTCCGGATTGCTAGCAGTGTGATAACAGCAGGGCTTGCATTTGCTACAAAGAAGAGCAATCAAAATAGTCCATCTGTCGATCAATTTGCTGCTCTTTCTGCATGGATCCCGTATCTTTTTGTCAATCCAGGTGATCACTTATGCTCAGAATATGTTGGGTATTTTGAGCACAGGAAGAAGATGGATGATATTGGAATTGGAGCCATTGAGAGATTAGCAACGCAGAATTCACTTGGCGGTCTTCTCATGAGTGCTATGGGCAGGGAGTCGGAACCAGTCCACCTCATCCCTTCAGCTAATGTAATCGTAAATTTAACTCCTTGTCAGGATTTTAGGGAAGCCCATGGAATTCACCAGTGGTGGAGACCTGATTTGGACATAAAATCGAAGCTTTACATGTACAAATAGTTGGGTGCAATTGGTGATTGTATGGTTTTTTTTATTTTTTGTACATGTGTAATATCTGAAGGATTGTCCATATTTGGTTCGTTACTTTGGTTGTCTCTAGCTGATTTTTATTGGTGAATTATTTTGTCAAATTGTATCACTTTGATCTTGTTTCAAATTGCATGTTGTAGTTGTAATCATTAGCCTGGTCTTATTAAGGCTTGGATTTCAGAAGCCAACCATTTAGCTGTCACTTCCCAAGGCTCGATAACTTGGGGTTGGGAACTTCCAGCAGTCATGAATTCTTCTAGAGGTACCACGCCTGCTTGAGAATTTTTAACTGAAAAATCATTTTAAGCACACACAATATCATACTGTAAACAGTTCCACTTTAGACAATGTAACTCAGTAGATTTGTTCACAATTTAAGTCACTACACAAAGTGATCAGAACTAATGTTATAATTTTCAAGATGCTTAAGCAAATCATTGGTAAGTTTTACGCTCTGTAAATAGAATCCTTGAAGTTCAACGCCATGAACGGATACTGGGATTTTCATCCTTGTATGGCAATGGCTGGTGTCTATTCTGAACTCTTGAAGAACAGCAGTTGAGCCATACACAAGCGGAAGTCAAGGTTGATGTTGATATATTTTACTGGGCTGGTCATGTGGAAAAAGGTAACACTGGGTCTGCCGCTTTCGCAATGGTAAAGAGTCAAAAAAGCAAGGACTCCAATCCCAAGAGAGTGGAGCATACATTACGGACATTGTCTGCAGTCTCCAGCCCCTCAATCCTCTCAGAGTTTAATCCTACGCTGCGCTAACTTTGTTACTGTAAATCACCACCGAATATTACCATTTACCGCCCCTGCCTGCTGCATGAAATTCCCAATTCTACTACCACCGTCAGTCAAAAATACTGGCTACCACAACCACCACCAAATCAGCCCACTCTCCAAGACTCCAACGTGACAAAATGACAACGTCAGGTGTCAACCTTTTCATTTTACTCCATTCGCATAATTCACTGACCCCCAAAACAACAAACATATACACACACACACACATTCCTGTTTCTTTTTAATATACTGAAACTATGGAGCATTTTGCGGATCTTTCCAGCGCATCACTCACTAACTCACTGACCTTAAAGTTTACTTCATGATTGGACCAAACTCAAGTTTCCTTCTAAAAATCCTTAACTACCCCATTTTATGACAGTAATCATGGTATCAACCTTTACTTACAGTACAATTAATCCCAAACAAAACAAAATAAAGAGAAAGCAAAGGAAAAAAAAAAGCTTCCCTTTTTAAACCAACCTCACCATAATTAACTGCTTTTGCTTTGCAACACTTCAAAATTTTTACCAAAAAACTGAAAAAAATAAAATGGTGTAACTAAAAGCTCAAAATTTTCAAAATGTAGATCAAAGAGTGGGCAAAATTCAGTAGTGGAGAAATCAAATTTTTACACTTCCTTCAACAAATCAGGCCACAAAATACAAATTTAAACACCCAAAATACTACAACTACATATTAAAAAAAGCTACAATTATAAATCTAAAAAGAGAAAGAAAAAGAATTACCATTACTATTAGCAATGAAACCCTAAAACAGATCCATCACTCACAGCAATAGCAACTCTGCATCTAACTTTAGTCTCCAAATGGTGAGTAAAAATATGCAAGACCCGAACCCGACCCGCCATTTGAATTCTTGACTCAATCTCCAAAGTAGGTCCGACCCGAAACCCATTATTAAAACCAGGTTGTCCACCACCGCCAAACCCACCGTCATTGAACGCAGGTCCCACATTAACCGCTGCATCTGGCGAAGCAGATAAAGGGAAAGACTCAACAGCAAAGGTAGCAGCCATGTACTGGGTCCGACCGGCTTCAATTTTACCAGCAGGTATGAACATGAACCCGACTTGAGAACCCGAATAAAGAAGCTGAAGGGTGCTGTCATAATGAGAGAAAACAGCTCTATTTGGATTCTTGACGGAGACATACTGAGAGAAAGTGAAGTTAACAGTGTTGTTAGAGACGGAAAAGGATGGGAGTTGAACGGAGTTAACAGAAATTTTAGGGTCTTTGGGCTTGAAAACAGTGAAGAAGACAATGAGGATTATGATAACAACAAAGATTAAGAAGATTGTAGCTACTATGCATGAGGCAAGATTTGTACGGCCTGATGGTGGTCTATGGGGTTTGCTCATCTTCTTGATTTGATGAGTTGAAAGAGGGAGGAGATGGAAATAAAAGAAAGAATCTAGAGAACGAGAGAGAATGGAAAATGGAAAATGGAAAATGGGGAGTGTTTGGATGTGGCAATAACGAGGGGATGTATGTGTTAGTGGGAAAGTGAAAATGAAAGGACTAGAGTGGATGCAAGAAAAGAAAGGTGTGAAAGGAAGACTTTATTTTTTGTTTTGAGGTTTTTTTCCATCTGTAGGAAAAGGTTTTTGTTGTGTGTGAATGCGTAGATTGAAAATTTTGGTCCGACTAACTGCTTCATTTAATGGTAAAAAATTGGAACCGTTTGGTTTGGTATCTTGTTAGATATATAGTTGTTGGCGATTTTACTTCTTGTGACCTCTTGTACAAAATTTTTCCAAATTTTTCAATATTAAACATCAAATATTCCAAATGTCAATGTTAACAAATATTCAGAATGGAACGTGAAATAGTTTTTAATTTGTGTTTTATATTACATAATTAATATAGAAATATATACCGATTATGTTAATCACTATACCTAAGTATTGGGATCATCAATCCTCGTAAATAAGCTAGCTTATATATATATATATATATATATATATATATATAGAGAGAGAGAGAGAGAGAGAGAGAGAGAGAGAGAGAGAGAGAGAGAGAGAGAGAGAGAGAGAGAGAGAGAGAGAGAGAGAGAGAGAGAGGGTATTAAAATAAACATTCTAGCTATTAAAAGTAAATATTTTAATATAATATTTCATATTCTAACAAAATCAATCGTCATTGCCCCCTTCAAGTTTGGGCATGTAAATGGAAAATGTCCAACTTGTCCAACAACTATAAAAATCGATCCCAACCAAGAGCCCGAGTGAAGATGCTCGTTAATTGATACTAAAAAGAAATTGATCGAGGTGATAAGAGTTTAGATTGAAAATGTTGTCGAACAAAGCGAAAGTCGATTTTGATATACTTAGTTTGCTTATGAAATACGAGATTAGGAACTATGTAAAAGGTTGCTAGATTATCATAAAATAAAAAGACCTTAGCAGAATGTAAAACACCTAAATCAAAGAATAGTCAATGAAGCCTAACAATCTCACTAGTAATGATGGTCATGGCTCTATACTCGACTTTAGTGGTGGAGTGAGAAATGATTGATCGCATCTTAAACCGCTAAAAAATTGGTGAGGATCCAAGAAAGATGATGTAGCCGGTTATATAACGTCGAGTGGTTAGACAACTAACCCGAGTCAACATCACAATAGCTTCTCATGGATAGAGAGCTATCGGAAGGAAAGAACATACCTTAGCTAGAGCTCTTTTGAGATAACGAAGAAAGCGGATGACAACATCAAAATGAGATTGTCTTAGTTGATGCATAAATTGATTCAAAATATGAATTGTGTAGTTAATAGCTAGATGTGTGATGGTTAGATAGAGAAGACGTTCAACGAGTTAACGATACTAGCTAGGATCATCCTATAGTGTGCCGGTATCAACATCAAACTTATGATGTTGATCCATTAGTAAGATTGATAACTTGTAGCCGGTGAGAACACACTCGATCAATATATATAACTATGACATACGTATATTGACTTAATACAATACCTTTTGAAGATCGCACAACTTCGAGACCTAAGAAATATTTGAGTTTACCCAAGTCCTTAATATAGAATATGGTATCCAAATACCTTTTGAGCCAAAAGATTTTAGTGGTGTTATTGTCGCCGAGGATCACGTCATTAACATAAACAAGAACGAAGAACAAGAGAGTTTTGATGAGAAAAAGTGAAAAAAAAATTATTTGAAGATCAAACTTATGATGTTGATCCATTAGTAAGATTGATGGCTTGTAGCTAGTGAAACCACATTCGATCAATATATCTATGACATACTTACATTGACTTAATACAATACCTTTCAAAGATCGCATAACTTCAAGACCTAAGAAATATTTGAGTTTACCTGTGTCCTTAATATAGAATATGGTATCCAAATACCTTTTTAAGCCAAAAGACTTTAGTGGTGTTCTTGTCATGAGGATCACGTCATTAACATAAACGAGAATAGCAACAAGAGAGTTTTGATGAGAAAAAGTGAACAAAAAATCATTCGAAGATCAAACTTATGATGTTGATCCATTAGTAAGATTAATGGCTTGTAGCTAGTGATACCACACTCGATCAATATATCTATGACATACTTACATTGACTCAATACAATACCTTTTAAAGATCGCACAACTTCAAGACTTAAAAAATATTTGAGTTTACCTAGGTCCTTAATATAGAATATGGTATCCAAATACCTTTTAAGCCAAAAGATTTTAGTGGTGTTATTGTCGTGAGGATCACATCATTAACATAAACGAGAACAACAACAAGAGAGTTTTGATGAGAAAAAGTGAACAAAAAATGATTCGTAGGATTGAGAGAAGTTCACTATAAGTAATCATTAAGTAAATGTATTATACTAATTACGAAAAGTTTGATGAAGCCCTAAAGGGACTTTTGGAGTCAAAAAACACATTGCTCCTCTTTTTTGGCAAAATCCTTAGGGATTTTCATGTTTTTTTTTTTAAAAAAAGATCACCATATAAAAAGTATTGTTAGCATTGAGTTGATGAAGGTCCCATTTGCGGACTACGGTAATAACAATGAGGCAACAAATGGTGACTAATTTTGCAATCGAGGTAAATGTCTCACAAAATCAATGCCTTTAATCTAAGTATATTCTTTCAACACAAGATAGGTTTTTTCCATAAATTTATCGAGATTAAAATTGATTTTATAGATCTATTTGGAATCAATAAATCATTTTTCGAGTGGTAAGTTGACAAGTATCCATGTATGATTTGCTTCTAAAGTAGCAATTTCCTTAGCCATAGCATCATGCAATTGTGTATTGCTTGAGAAAAGGAAGTAGGCTCATCAATGAAAGAGATGACCATTAGAAAAGTATTGTGAGAGTTAGAAAATTTTGAATATAAAAGATTATGAGATAAAAGGTGTACCCTTAAGTTGGCTAAAGGAGGAGTATAATGCGAAGTATAGGACAATAATAGAGAAGGTGACGAGAGGATAATGATAACCAAAAGGTGATTTTGATGATTTTTTAATGAAGCCAAGACTTTGGTCCGATTGTGAAATGTGAGATCATGACCCACTATGATGAGAAGAAAGTTGTTGATTTATGGTTAAAGACTTAGAGATAAGATTCCTAAGTTTAGCAAAATTGGACTCGGTTAGGAGGTACAAGATTGACATGTATGAAGTTGACAAAAATGGGTTGTACTAGAGAATACAGACCGCCAAATAGACCAGCAAGGTGGCGTCTCCAAAGAAGGTCCAAGATGGTAAGTTTGCAAGTCCAAGATCCGATCCATTACACAAATAAGTTGGTCCAATCGCACGAGATGGGATTAAGAAGCTTAAAGAAGCTTTCCATAGGCTAATTCAAGAGTATTGACCAAAATACACTTTCAAATGCTCGAGGAGCAATGTGACGCCATCTTAAGAGAGGAGGGGATCCAAAACTTATCAATTTGATCCAAGTCCAATATTGGACTCTTTAAATCATATTGAGCCTATTTTATTATATCTAGCTTAATTATAATTATAATTAATTAATTAAGTCAAATTTAAGCGAAATGTTTTAAGTTCGACTTAATTATAATTAAAACTAATTAATTAAGTCATATTTAGGCTCAATATCGTAAGCCTTATTATTTACATCCATTATAATTTGTTTCTATACTCCTTAAGTGGAAAGGATGAGTAGAGTCCTTTTAAGGTTAGGAGTGACATGTTTGCCAATTTAAAGGCTGGTTTAGTTTTGTTTTAAGGTTATGTAATAATTTTGAGAGTTAATAAATTTGAGAGGATTTTCTTTCTTTATACTTTTAAGAACTAAATCTAACTTATCAAGGATTGCACTTGTGGTGTCTCCGAACTCATCATTCTCCATAGGGTATGACACTCTTCACTCCATTATATCATAGCTTCAGTTCTTCCCTCCTTATAGGCAACGGGTCGATTTTGTTTATTATAACCTAATTGGATGGGTTTTTAGAGTTTTCTAACAACAATGCGTTTCTGGACTTATTAGCATGCAATTGACCTTACATCCTCGTTGCGCGCATGAGCTCTAATGTCAAACATTGACCTCGTATGCTCCCACTTAATTCTAAGCCCAAAATCAATTTTAAACGATTATAAAATACCAAAACATAAGATTTGCAATCTAAAATTGATAATTCATATGGTTAATCACAATTAACAAAACATATAATTAACAATTTAACGAAGCTTTGATACCAATTAAAGGATCATGCATCTTATGAAGGTGTGGAATAAAATAAAAAAATTTCCTCCATCTAAGGATCCCAAGATCAAGCCATTGAATAAACTAATCATCCATACATGAATTAAAGTGTAAGTAAAGGATTAGGTCTTGTAGCTCGATTTAGCCTTTGCGGAAAATGAGATGTCCAAGTGTCCGACCTTTATCAATAATCCATATAGTCTAAGCACTCACACAAGAAGCAATCGAAGTTATAGAATGCTAGCTCCACCTTTTTCTAACTTGTTTAACTTTTCTCTTTAGAAATTTATTTAGAGATATTTTGTGACAATCCTAAGAGAGAGGAGAGAATTGACATGCTTTAGAGAAAAGAAAACTATTTTCTTCTTATTTTTTTCTATGCCATATATGCCCTCTAATTACCCTCTCTTTATCGCACTTTTTTTTTTTATATTTATTAGGGGAGGCTTCCTTATCCTCTAAGGAGAAGGAAGTGGTGGCAGCTAGTTTAATATAGACTCTAGGTTATTGCTTCCTAGTCCTTCAAGGATTAGGAGTTGCAATACATGTGAGTTTTTTTATCTTATCCTTATAAAGCTTGATCCTTATCCAATAAGGGTTAAGTTTATCCTCCAACTAAAATATCTTTAGGCTTTGAAATTAAACCTATTGACCCAAGCTCTTTTAACCTAATTAA